ACCACCGCTGGCAGGAAAGAGAGATGGCTGTCCTCCCCCTCGCGGGCCTAATGGACACACATTATTCAGCCAGTGGAAGTGTCATCTCACCACACCGCTCAAAATGGCCCCTGGAATCAAAGCTTGTCTTACCGGAAGTGTCATCCACGCCACTATCCATTCGCGCACCTCTGTCATTGCAGCTCCCGGGCCTCTCTCTCTCTCCATCAATCCCGCCGCTCCTCCAGGGACGGGCCATGTTCTCCGTCAGGAAACCTAAAACAAGAGGATTCTATTAAAAGGTGTCAGCCGGCAACCAGATATCAATAACCCCCATGTATGTAGAGCAGGGAGCGAGCCCGCGGGAATCTGCGGTTTCACTGGGGCGGTGTGTGTGTCTGTGTGTCTGTTTGTGTGTGTGTGTTTGGTATTTGTGTGTGATTGAGTATGTGTACGTGTGTGTTCCTCTGTGTGCATATATGTGTTTCTGTGTATGTGCTCATGTGTGCGTTGTGTGTCTGTTTGTGAGTGCTTTGTATTTGTGTGTGTGAGTTTGTGTTTGTGTGTTTGTATGCGTGCGTGTGTGTATTTGTGTGTGCGCGTGTGTGCATATGTGTGTATGTGCCTGTGTGTGTGTTTGTGTGGCCCTTCTGTAAGCTGCATATCTTCATGTATCAAGTCTCCTATTTGTGTGGCAGTGTTTGTGTGTGTGTGTGTGCGTGTGTGTGTGTGAGTTTGCGCGTGTGCACTTGTTTGTCTTTGCATGTGTTGTGTGTAAGTGTATGTGTTGCAGTGTGTAAGTCGCATATATATCGTATATCAATTCTTTTATTTGTGTGTGCGTGCGTGCGTGTGCGTGCGTGTGCGTGAGTGTGCGTGCGTGTGCGTGGTTGTACGTGTGTAGTGTCCGTGTGGGTGTGTGTGTGTGGCCCTGCGATAAGTCGCGTATATTGTGTATCAAGTATTTTATTTGTGTGTCTGTGTGCGTGTGTGGGTGTGTTTGTGCATGTGTGGCAGGGTTTGTATGTGTTTGTGATTGTGTTTATGCGTGTGCGTGTGCGTGCATGTACGTGTGTGTGTCCGTGCGGGTATGTGTGTGTGTGGCCCTCCTGTAAGTCACATATATCATGTATCAGTTGTGTGGTTTCTGTGTACGTGTGTGTATGGGTGTGCGTACGTGTACATGTGTGTCTGTGTGGGTATGTGTGTGTTTGACCCTCCTGTAAGTTGGATATATCATGTATCAATTCTTTTATTTGTGTGTGTGTTTCTGTGTCTCTGTGTGTGTGTGCGCGCTCCTGTCAAGTGTCTTATTTGTGTGTGTTTGTGTTTGTTCTTGTGAGTGCCTCTTTGTGTGCCTGTATTCGCATGTATGATTGCGTGTGTGTGGCCCTTCTGTAAGCCCAGGGTTCCCACGGTCATGGAAATCCTGGAAAAGTAATGGAAATTGAAAATGTCATTTTCCAGGCCTCATGGAATTTTGTAAATTCAATGAAAGTTCTGGAAAAGTCATGGAATTTTTGTATCTCTTTCACACAACTACAGCGTTCTGTGAAGTTCTCATTAGTCTATTATGATTATGTCCAAACATCTGCGCCTTTTATTTAAAAGAGACGAACAATAAATGCACTGACAGTATTTTGAATGTTAAAAATCTATAAAACCAAACCATAAGGTGAGTGGAAAGGGTTAATATTTCTTACATTGAAAGTATGATCATTTCTACACATGTAGGTTGCTGTAAAGTCATGGAAAATTCACTTTAGGTCATGAAAAAATCATGGGAAAGTTTTGAAATTTTGTCAGTGAAAAAGATTGGGAACCCTGTAAGCTGCATCTATCATGTATCAAGTCTGTTATTTGTGTGTTTGCGTGTGTTTTTCTGTATCTGTGTGTGTGTACATGTATATGTGTCCCTTCTGTAAGCCGCAAATCTTCATGTATCAAGTCTCCTATTTGTGTGTGTTTGTGTGGCAGTATTTGTGTGTGTGCGTGCGTGTATTTGTGTGCATGTGTGTGTTTGTGCGTGTGTGTGTGTGGCCGTCCTGTAAGCCGCATATATCTTCATGTATCAAGTCTCCTATTTGTGCCATTAAGCATGCTCCGTGTTTGATATGATACCAGAGACACAGAAACTAATTGATGGCTGTATTGAACCAACTTTCAGAGACATATTTCTGCCCATCTTGACTCAGTCTGAGCTTTTTAAGAATCCCATCTAGTTATATTTGTGTGTAGCCTGGGTGAATGAACAACTGCGTCACCTGCACTTTAAGTTTGCAAAAATCCTGCTACCACTTTGTGACTACATCTTAATTAGCCTTATAAAGCATGAACAAAGACAATGAAGATAATTGTTTCTCTTTCTCATTTACCCTCTTGAAGATGTTTTTGGAGTGATTTGTGCATGCTCTAGCAATCTTTAATCGCTTATTTTAAAGAGACCATATTGCCGTTGAACTCCTGTCCTTACTTCGTTCTCCAATTTTATTTTCTTTATTTGTGATACGTAGGATTCAGGCAAGGCAAGGCAAGTTTATTTGTATAGCATAGTTCGTACACAAAGTAATTCAAAGTGCTTTACAGAATAAGAAATACATTAAAATCATAAAAAAACAAATCAAAACATAAATAATCATGAAGATTAAAATTAAAAAAGAGAGACATAAATTGGAGAGAAGAGTGTCGTGTTGTCATTTTGGTACAACTGAAAAAGAGAGAAAAAACTCGCACACCATCTTACTTGCAAATTGTGAGATTTATTAGGACAAACCGGTCACGACAGCATTATTTTATAGTTGGGTGAATATATACTATGTCTATATGTATTTTTTTTATTATTATTCAATGAGTTTTCTACTAATGATTAATATTTCATTATTATTATCATTACACTGTATGTTGATTGTCTTTGTTTTTTGAATTATGGGGTTTTGAGTGCACTGTTTCTTTATGACCTGTCACCCTGGGGTGCTTACCACACCCTATTTAAGATGGCCACCTGAGCTCTCATTCTGTTTGCCTGACGAAGGCCTAGTGCCGAAACGTTGCACGGTTTGTCCTAATAAATCTCACAATTTGCAAGTAAGACAGTGTGGGATTTTTCTCTATGTTCTTGGGCTGCTCCCTCTCCTCCGACGCACCCGTCTCTAGTAATTGATGTGCGAAATTCTCATTCTTTTATATCGTTGGTACAAATGAAAAAAAAAAAAATCTGTGGCTCTCTAGTGTGATCTGCAGCTATCCATCGGAGGTTCCAACAGCTGCACAGCTCTTTTTACAGTGACATCACCTCCCATTGGGCGAATTTCTCCTCTTGCCATGGATTCTGCCTGGACGACTGAGGGATTTTAGCCAGGTTGGCGCCTCCGCTCAATTTCATTTCTCTCCAGCGACTAGGTCAGGAATCGGTAGGGCTGGGTATCATTAAGAAGTTGCCGATACGATACATACCTTGATACATAGGCCACAATACTATACATATCTCGATACACTGAGCTTTCGATTCGATATGATATATTTGAAATCAATTTGATACAGTTCAATAAAAATAATAGCTAAATCATGGCTGTGATACTAAAAGTATTTCTCAAATGACTTCTTGTGCAAAGTTCATATGAAACACAAACATTTTAATCCTCAAAACAGGGAAAATGTCAAATTTGTCACATAAAAAAATGCTCTGAACAAGCAACAAAACTGTAGCACTGTAACAAAATTTTTTTGTAAAAATACAACCAGATACTACCATACTTACCAAAAAATACTCTTGGTGACATATCAATACAGCAACCCATGATATTGATACTGTATGCTTACATTAAACGATACGATATATCGCTATTTTGATATTTTTGCACACCCCTAGGAATCGGAATACTCCAGACAGTTTGTAAGAACCCCGGAAGTTGTAGACCGCGCACCGGCCAATCAGTAAAGAGCTGTGAAGCCATGACGTCAAACTCAAGCGTCTGTCTGGGTCCCTTTTGTGGAGCAGCACAACAGTAAACAAAGAGGTCGAGATGGATGTAGACGAAGACAGACATTCTGTGTTGGCAACGATTCCCGAGATCGAGGATTTAAAGCCGGAACAAAGAGACCGAGTTAGCCCCGTTAGTGGTGCATTACACACGTCACGACCAAATAGCAGCGACTGGTTAAACAAAAAAAGGACCTGCCTACCATCGAGCGAATGAATCTTAATGCTGCGAGGTCAGACGGTTTCCACGAAGTGAAACCGGCTGATGAATCGGTCTAGAGGGATTGTACACACACATCGATTTTCTAAAAAGGAAGTCGGTGAACTCATCTCTTTTATAAGTTGTTTTAGATGAATATTGTAATTTAAAATGTGGAAATTATGAGATAAAGATCCAAGGGTGTCATAGATTATAACAACACCGCAGACACAAGCACAATACACCTTCTTTAATAAACTATTTCATGCTTTTATAAGCCACGAATAAGTGCAATTATTACAAAGTGTTACCAAAGTCCGATTGTCTTATCTTTTTAAAGGATTCTGTAGTTCTTTGTCAAACTACTTCAGTGCCTTATTTATTAATTTCCGGCCTTTCTTTTCACCTCTCTCAAAAATGTATTGTGAAAAAAATGAATCAATCCTGTCTTGGAATGGAGACTCTACGTTTGTGAGTGCCCAGATATGATCTTTTATATTTTATCACTTTATGTGTGTACCATCTTTTTAATGGGTTTCATTTAATAAAACTTAAAGGAATAATTTGAGCTTCCGCAATATTCTAAATGTTACCAAGGATCTAAAAGTAGCTCCTAATAATCAGAGGGATGAGACCGTGTTTAAAAATATATGTAGTATTTTATCAGTATGAGATAAAGATTAATTGAAGGCGCAGTTTTCTATTTAGTAATTTGACAAAGCTTCGTATTACTTCGCCCTAATAATACCAACACTCAAAGTTTCTGCAGGTTAACTCAAACTTTATTATTATTACTTTGTTGGTACTTACCTGGTCCAATTGTGTTTGTCCATCGACCCGCAGAAGCTGACCTCTGACCTGGCCGGAGTGGAGCAGCAGAAGAAAGTTCTGGAGATGGAGCTGGCGCAGTGGAGGCAGGTATCTCTCCCCCCAAAACCTGCACCCGCCGCACCCGTCCTCCCCGCGTGCTTCTGCCAGGGCCGTCCGTGCCCACCTGACCCTGCCCTGCCCGCTCTGGAGGCTGAGGTCAAACTACTTCAAGTCAAGCTCAAGGTAACGAGTTTTACACTAGTGAGAGCGGGTGTGTGGTTAGTGAGTTTGTTCTAGCGTTCTGAATGACACATGGGGTGTTTTCTACTCTCAGAATAAAGTATTTTCTGTTTCTGCGCAAATATTTCAGTACTAGTTTTAGTATTGATTAGTGTTTGGGTTTTGATTTTATATTTTTGGGCAGGTGATACTATAAAAAAGTAAATAAAGAAAAGAAAAGAAACATTTTTTTTTCTTATCCTCAGTTGAAAATGTCATTATATTGTGTTGATATTTGTCTTCATCATTTCCTGGGGGTGTGACGCTAACTGTAGGCACTGCTCTGTCTGAAGCTCTGATACTCAAAAATTAGACTTTAATCTGAGCTTTTTCCTAATACAATCTGACCACAAAGGAACTGACTTTGCTGAAACTAAAACAGTGTTTTTTACAGAGTTTGCATTGTGTCACCATGGTAACTGCTTACCATTTCTCCAATAGAGATACATGTAGAACACCCCTAGTGCAATGTCACTGCAAAGAATCAATAAAAAAGTAAAACAACAAACAAAACAAAACAAAAACAAAAAACTAGAAACAATTTTTTTCCTCAATTGAAAATGTAGACTTTAATTACAATCTAACTACAAAAGAAAAAGAACTGACTTTGCTGAAACTTAAAATGTGTTTTGACAGTGTTTCTTAATTTATGCATTGTGTCACCATGATAACTGCTGGATAATTCCGGCAATAGGTATACATGTAGAACACCCCCAGTGCAAAGTCTCTACAAAAAAAAAAAAAAATCTGCAAAAAAGTAAAAAAAACAAACTAGAAACAATAACAACAATTATCCTCAGTTGATGTTGTTATATTGTATTGATGTTTCTTGTCAAAAAATTTTCTGGGTGTGTGATGCTATGTATGTGTACATTGGGTCACCATGGTAACTGCTGAACATTCCGCCAATAGAGATACATGTAGAACATCCCCAGTGCAATGTCACTACAAATAATCAATAAAAAGTAAAAAAAACAAAAAAAAACAAAACAAACTAGAAACAATTTTTATCCTCAGTTGAAAATGTCATTATATTGTGTTGATATTTCTCATCAACATTTCCTGGGGGTGTGATGCTAACTGTAGGCACTGCTCTGTCTTGATTAGAGCCCTGCACCCAACGCAAAACTGTGCGGCACGGGACACATTTTGAAAGCTGCAGGGCGGTGGGATGATAAACTACAGTCCTGCAAACTAAATATGAGTGTTATGTAAACAAATGATTAATGTTTGCCTATCATTACATAATTTGTGCTGGACTTTTTTTTTGGCATTAATAAAAACATTTTAAGCTGTCTAAACTTGCAGATGTGGCCGCACACATTTTAGACAATTCCTTTCCGCTTCTCTGTGTTTGATTGAGCTTAAGAAAGTGAACATTCCCATCTTGCAGAAAATTCTGTCCCGTGCAGACCTCTAGTTTGAATCTTTGTTACTCAAATTAGACTTTAATCTGAGCTTTTTCTTAATACAGTCTAACCACAAAAGAACTGACTTTGCTGAAACTATAAATGTGTTTTGGCTGTGTCACCATAGTAACTGCTGAACGTACCGCCAATGGAGCTTCATGTAGAACATCCCCAGTGCAATGTCACTCCAAAGAATCAATAAAAAAAGTAAAACGAAACAAAAAAAGAAAGAAAAGCATTTTTATTCACTGTTGAAAATGTAATTATATTTTATATGAATATGGAAATGACTTGGAAATAGACTTATTACATAATTATATCTTTTTAGTTAAAAGCGTGATTTATTTTTATTATTAATTTGTTGTGATATGGAAATACATTTTGAGTATATTAAGTACTTTCTGTCATATCGAAAAAGAGTCACTAATATCCTACAATAGCACAGTATAAAGATATATATATATATATATACTTATAAAAACAGAATATTCATAAGGTAAATAGTTTTTTATATATATAATGTTAATAAAAAGTTGTTAGAATAATATGCTACACAAAGTTATTTTTCAGATCTCTTTTTTGATCCAGAGTTTTGCAATAACTGAACTGAGCCGATTCTTTTTATCTTTAGCAAAAAAATCCCTGGTGTTTTATTTAAACATCAATATTTCTGAGTCACTTACATCTCTGCTCTGAACAGCCCCCGGTCCTTGAGAAGTTTAAGAATCTGTAAAAGAAGCCGTCAAGGTTTTCGTTTTTGAAATCACACGGTAGAGAAAATCCAACAAATTCTCCGGGTTGCCAGTTCTCACCTCAGATCACCTGAAATTGCATGTGATTTGGACATGAATTAGCATTCCTTATCATTTGATCTTATTAGCAGAGCGCTGTCACAGGGATGAGGAATGGGCTGTAGCAGTGGAGACGTGCCCTACATCATGGGAAATGAGGAGCGAGGTGTAGCGCAGACTCCCCCGTCAGTGTCAGGCGGCAGATTGGCCCTGTCATTACGCGCGCGGAGGATGTCATGACAGGTGACAGCGCAGGGGGGCGCCGCGGGGGTGCTCCCTCTTCTCCGAGCGTATTGTCAAAAGCTGCTACAGGAACGGTGCCCACGAGAGACTCCGGGGCCCTTTAAACCAAAGTAACACGCAGGTTCCAATATCTATCAGAGCGCTGATCTAAAACTGAACTGTCGTCATGAACGCCGCGATCCTCAAAAGCAGCGGGCGGAGGTGTCAGAGATAACAAAGCACAGTGACAAAGGTGATTTAAAGCTGCACTGTGGAACTTTTGTGGTGCAGCAGGGTGCGCCACCTGCTGTCTCCATGGTGTCTGACTTGTCTGTAATGCTCCACAGCCTGGCAGTAGCTTATAGGTGATCTCCCCGGGCCAAGTTACAGACCAGATCTGAAAAAAGGCAAAAATGACTCTAATTTATTTAATGCAGAGATAGATGTTTAATGCCATACTGTGAAACTTTCCAGGGAAAGAAATAACATTAAAGGGACAGTTTGGAATTTTGGACATATGACCTCGTTTCCTAGTGAGCCAGAGTGTTGGAGACGTGTGGAGGCACTTTTTAAAATATTCCATCCAGTCCTTGTATTTGCAGAGGTCGCTGGTGCTAGGCTAGTGCATATCAATGGCCATAGTTATCCCGCCACTAAAAACAGTCTTACCCACTCTACAAAACACCCAAAGCAAATCTATTATAACGCTAGACTGTTGATGTGAATGTCTGTGTTGATAGAATAATGTTTGAAATAAAACTAATCTTGCATCGCATGAATCGTCGCATGTTGAGGGACTATTTTCTCATATATCAGTCCACCACTGCCAAGCTTTCCATCAGGAAGTATAACTCACTGCTGCTGCTCAGACATAAATCCTTTAAATGTAAGGCTGGTTTTACTTCTAAAATTATTCTATCAACACAGACATTTACATCAAAAGTCTGGCGTAATAATAGATTTACTTCGGGTGTTTTGTGGAGTGGGTAAGACTGTTTTCAGTGTCAGGCTAACTATGGCCATTGACATGCACTAGCCTTGCACCAGCGACCTTTGCAAATACAAGGACTGGAGGGAATATTTTAAAAAAGTGTCTCCAACACTCTGGCTCACTAGGAAATGAGGCCCTATGTCCAAAATCCCAAACTGTCCCTTTAATATCTTTGTATTACGCGAAATCAGCCTTAAAATGTACATTAAAAACACGCTTGAAGAAGTTTTATCTGTTATCTGTGCATGTTTGAGTAATTTGGTGAGAGCAAAGGGATGGGGGGGACTGGAAGCGACAAAAACTGAAATTTACTGAAGATGTTTTCAGCAAATATAGCAAAACAATAAAAGGCAACATTGAGATCTTAATGTGTAATGCAATTAAGCAATTAATACCTCATTGAAGAACCTCCTTTTTTACATTTTCAGTGCACTACCCACACACACACTCTGACCTCTAAAGCAAAAGAGAGCAGTCGTAGGGGGCATTTAACTGTTGGTATTGTGATAAGACTATTATAAATTATCCAAATTTTATTGTACTTTCTGTCCAAAGCATTGTGCATTTGCAGTTTTTATTGACCCTATTACAGTGTCTACAGTTTCTCAGTGTAATACAGCGTCTTATGAATAGATTTTTAAGCACACTTGCCATTTTGTTTGGGTAAATTTACAGCAGAAAATTATTATATCTGTAATGCAAAACCCTTACAACTTTACAACCACATTTAATTTACTGCCATAACTAATAAACGCTGTAAAATATTTTCTCTAATTAATGTATTTAATTAGAGGAAATTTCTAAACACATTACTTAATAAAAGCGCAACGAATATAGTTATTTTCTCCTAATTACTCCCCTCATTTGATCCACTTTGAAAACTAGCGCGTTGCTCTTAACCTCTTTTAGCACCTTCCACCCTCCCGCTGTAGTTCTAATGAGGAGCCGTGCTGCGCCTGACCTGTCATCATCCATGTCGTGAAAACCGGCCCCTCCCCTCCTCGCCCCTCATCGCGCTCGCTCTGACACATTAACAAACTCACCCCCTCTCTCCTCTCCCCCTCTCTCTTTCTGTGCCCCCACTCTCCTCCCCCCAGAGCTCGGGTTCAGAGGTCACGAAGCAGGTGGCAGCTAACAAAGCCCTGCGAGGCCAGCTCCAGGAGAAGGAAGACAAGCTCCGCCAACTACAGGACAAGTTAGTCTCACACCTCTCTCCATTATTATTACTCTGTCCTCTTTCTGGTCTACTACGTGTCTCCGCTCACTCTGCTTTCACCATCTCACAGTGTCCTACTGATCGTCTAAGTGGCATGGATTAGGTTTAAACAGGCCACGAAGGACAAAAAAATACATTAAATCTGTGTTCAGGTGTTCATTTATTGAACTTGAACTGCTCGTAGTTGCTAGATCGAGCTACAGCCACTCACAACAGGAAAAAGAGGAGAAAAGTATTATTTAATGTATTTCATTATCCCAATATTGATACAGATTTGTCAGTATCAGCTGATATCGCAATGTTTTTTCACTGCCCCATTCTCTGTGTGCCCTTTTTAAACAGATTAATGAGTCAAAATTGAAAATAGAAGTGTGTTTATATGACTATTGGAACAAATTATTTCGTTTTCCAGATAAATACATGTTGCTTGCCTTGCGATGGATTGGATATGGGCAAATACTGGATACTGGCTCATGTATAAGATCAACTATTGCAATAAATAAAGGCAAAGAGGCAAAATATGTGTATTTTAGCCAAGCAGTAAATATTAGACCATGATACTGTTCTGGATGCCTCTTGACACTTCTGGACGAACCCTTTTCTCTTTGTCTCTGCTCTGGTCTTTCTGAGCGTTTGCACATCCACAGCCCTTCACATCTGCAGTGTGTGATTCCACCGTGTGGCAGCTCCCTGTCTCCTGCATCCCTCTCTCTCTCTCTCTCTCTCTCTGCACCTCTCCGTCTCTGTGCTGTGCTGATGATTAGTGAAATTATGCATGTTCTCTTAACCAGCGCGCAGATACAGTGTGCAGGAGCAGTGTGGATGTGGGTGTCTTGTGTGTCATAGTGTAGGGTTTCTTATGTGGGCTTCTTCAGTGGAGCGCTGATCAAAGACCTGTATTGATTGTTTGTGTGCCGCAGGAGGGACCAGTTTGGCCCCTGACACCTAAACCCACACACCATCACTCTGGCCTGTGGGCCACACACCCTAATGAGTTACACGGATCACCTCCTGCAGCACTGGCTCCATTACATAGTGCACAGCTATAGATGTAAACAATTCACTTAGGAACACTGCTGTTGTGAAAGGCACATCTCGTCATCCTGGATTAGAATTTCAGCTTTGAACTGAAGGAAAGGTACAAAGAGCAAGTTGGCATTCCTCCGTCTGATTCTCTTTGTCTAGTATTCTGTGTCCTCTGCCCGCCTTTCTCAATAATGCATACGGGGCATGTGTACAATCACAGTGGGCATGTGCTGCTGTGTGACCAAAGGATCACAGATACAAAGAGTGAACATCCCCAGAGCAGGACTACGACAGCAGCTCCTCTGTCACACACTGGACTCCCAAACAGCAGCTGCCAGTCCTGTACATACCAGCTCGTGCGCCTCCATGGAGGGACTCCTTCTCAGAATGAAAGACATGTCTAGACATCTCTGAAATATACATCTCAGCGCACACACAGGGAGCAAGGCTGCTTCGCCTTAAAGAAGAGAGAGCTAAAAAAAAAGAAATGAATTTCAAAGTACACCGGCATGTCCTCAGTCAATATCCGGCACTATGGCCCTGCCTTATTTATGAAGCAGCTTCTTTCATCTTTAGCTCTGTTGTCTATCAGCCACATGAAACACCAGAGCTCTCCATTCTTAACAACATCCACCAAATGTTAGCGCTCACTTTCACTCAGACCGCTGACTGTTATCATTACAATACACGCATGTTTGATGAACAATATTGCCAACAAGCTCAGAACAAAGGGAACAAATGCCTAAGTTATGGGGGAGAGTCTGTGGCTCTGGTTTTGGCTGCTCACTAACTCTCATAAATACAGATCACACGCTCCGGCAGAAACAGCCTCCATCCTTCATTCTTTTTTATCCTCTATTCTTTTTGGGCTGCAGAAGAAGAAACATCTAAAATAAATGCTGTCCGTCTAATTGCCATTAGCATTGGGGCACAGGGAGCTGCAGACTCTTATTGCTGCGCTCTGTCTTTAAGTCAACAGCAGACAGCCATCCGAAAGGTTCAATATGGGTTTTCTCATTAATGGCCAAATCCATGGGGTAACCATCCAGCACTTCTCCCCCCAAAGTCCCAAGGCTAGACTCTTTCATTTAATTTAATGTCACTCCAATAGGACAAGCTCACATTTATTTAGCCAGACTGCCCTGAAGCACTGGCTTACCTGGGGAGGCAGGGACATTTACTCACACACAAGCATTTGCTCTGCTGTTGCCTCATTTGTTTATTTAAAGCTGCACTGCGTAACATTTTTAGTGGAGCATCCGTTACCTGCTTGTCTTCACGGAAATGTTATTGCTTTGTCCAGAATGTTCCACAGTATACTTTAAACCAGGGTTACTCATTGCATGGCTCACAAGCAACATGCAGCTCACCAAACTTATACCAAAAATAGTAACTCAGCCTGTATATTTTTTCAAATGTGGTAGATGAACATATAGTAAATATTGCAACAAAAATATCTGCATTACACTAAGTATAAATCAAGGCTTAATTAATTGTGTTTCCTAAAGGAGGCACTGTGGCACCAGCAACCAGTGATGCTCACATCCATGTATAAATGACCCATACCGTACAGGCCTTCCCTGTCCACACAGTAACGCAAAACCCCCTGAAACGCTAGTCACGTGATAAGCTGGTGTCACGTCTTCACAAGGTCCCAACGTCACGTGAGTGGCAAAAACAAGGAAGTCTGAAGTTGCAGCAGTGGACCGACGACGAGGTTCAGTTGTTACTTAGTGAAACACTGGATTTTAAAACGAGCATGGCGGCTCAGAGTGAGGACTGACTCGTTTCTGTGTTCGCAAGCCTTCCCTATCCACACAGCTTTGAGCATATTTGTTTACATTTTACAGAAACGAAACTTAAAACCGCATGGCAAATTTGCATGAACTGAGTGCTCAAAAAACAGCTCATTATTGTGCGCTGATGCGGTTCAGCTTCTGTCGGACTAAAGGACATGACTCAGTGGAATATGAGTGTTCTTTCTGTGACAGAGGGGTGTTCTGCTGATGGTGAGTCTGTTCTGTGCTTCTATCACATTGGAGATGTTTCATGTGAAACTTTTCAGAGATTATACGTCTGCAGGTCGTACGCACAGACTGTATATATGAATGGACATATATTCTAGCCTCTTAGCGTTTTGGTGGTGAATTACTTCGCGGCGCATAGACCTACATCAGCGTATCAGCGTTTTCAGGTGTCCACACGGTGCCGGATCAGATTCGTACTCAGATAAATTCGTAGGAGCTGGCGGCACCAGATCGTTCCGTCTCTGGAGCCGTTTTCAGTCGGATTAGTGTGGACGAACACTGTATCCACAACGAAAACGACTCAAATACTAGTGTGGATGGGGTCTAAATTACATTTCAGATCTCACAGAAGAAATTAGGGTATTTTTGAGTGGAATAAATAAATACGAGCAGGATATGTTTAAAGTCATACTGTGGAACATTCCCTCCATAGCGGTCCCTCCACCAGAAAAGCTGCGTGGTGCACCTTTAAAACACACAAGTCATGATGCGCGTGGGAGAATCACCACATCTCTGAAAAAAAAAAAAAAAAAAAAAACTCTTTAATTAACAACAGCCTTATGATCTTTATTCTATTTGTTCACTCTCCCAGCGGTATAGACAGCCATGAAAACGCTTCATATTTTCCTTTTATGATTGCAGATTAAACATGCTAACATTCTTCGCCAATTTAAAATAAAACCCGGCGTTAATACGTTGAAATGTGGAACAAATCAATGTTATTAAACAGGAACGTGTTTGCTTGAGTGTCTTTACATCAGACGATATTAGCGCAGAACCGGCTAGAATTCCCCGTGTAATCCTTTTCGAACCGTGGCAAAAATAAACATGTAATAAATGCGTTAGCTCGTGTCACTGTCGATTCGAAATGCACTTTGTCACAGAGGATTCCCCAGTCAGCGCTCCCATCAGACTACTTGTTCTAATGTATGCCACTTAGAATTACCCATGCAGCCTCCCCTCTCGTCGTACCCAAACAGCATGGCGGTGTATTTAGTTGTCATAATGAGCTGTCAGGGCTGATGTACTGCGCGGGGACACTGGGGCTGTGCTGGTGTCTCTATTTGTATGCGGCGTGTCACTGTTTAATTTGTCTTCCAGAGCGGCTCACGTGGAAAGAGACGTAAACATGAAAAGACAGCTCGTGGAGGACCTGAAAACGCGACTGAAGTTTTTGCAGGACATGGAGGGCAGCTACCGCGGGCAGGTGGAAGAGCTGGAGAAGAAGGTAAAAGGGAGGAGTAATATGTTGTAAAAGCGTCGATATCGCAATATTGACTGATGCAATAATCGATATCTTAACAAGGTTCTCCATCTGATAAAATGCACTGTTTTTTTTAAATTATTAATATGTTAAATAAAGCCAGTTCTGAAAGTTTTTTTGAGTATCCCGCTCCTGGTTTAGTCCTGGTTCAATCCTGGTTTAGTCCTGGTTCAGTCCTGGTTCAATCCTGGTTTAGTCCTGGTTCAGTCCTGGTTCAGTCCTGGTCCAGTCCTGGTCCAGTCCTGGTCCAGTCCTGGTCCAGTCCTGGTCCAGTCCTGGTTCAGTCCTGGTTCAGTCCTGGTCAGTCCTGGTCAGTCCTGGTCCAGTCCTGGTCCAGTCCTGGTCCAGTCCTGGTTCAGTCCTGGTTCAGTCCTGGTTCAGTCCTGGTTCAGTCCTGGTTTAGTCCTGGTTCAATCCTGGTTTAGTCCTGGTTCAGTCCTGGTTCAGTCCTGGTTCAGTCCTGGTCCAGTCCTGGTCAGTCCTGGTTCAGTCCTGGTTCAGTCCTGGTTCAGTCCTGGTTTAGTCCTGGTTTAGTCCTGGTTTAGTCCTGGTTCAATCCTGGTTTAGTCCTGGTTCAGTCCTCGTCCAGTCCTGGTTCAGTCCTGGTTTAGTCCTGGTTTAGTCCTGGTTTAGATCTGGTTTAGTGCTGGTCTAGTCCTGGTTCAGTCCTGGTTCAGTCCTGGTTTAGTCCTGGTTCAGTCCTGGTTCAGTCCTGGTTCATCCTGGTTCAATCCTGTTTTAGTCCTGGTTCAATCCTGGTTTAGTCCTGGTTCAATCCTGGTTTAGTCCTGGTTCAGTCCTGGTCCAGTCCTGGTCCAGTCCTGGTTCAGTCCTGGTTCAGTCCTGGTTCAGTCCTGGTTTAGTCCTGGTTCAGTCCTGGTTCAGTCCTGGTTTAGAGCTGGTTCAGTCCTGATCTAGTCCTGGTTTAGACCTGTTCCAGTCCTGGTGTAGTCCTAGCGATCTGCAGTTGCAGCCTGTGTATATTTATAATCTGCTAATATTTCTTTTTTTTTAATTAATATGTTAAATAAAGCTGATTTTCTTCATGATTTTTTCTTACTGAGGCCAAAATTTAGACTCGACAGTTTCACTATTAAATGAAAACATGTGATTTCTTTGTTTTTATTATTATAGCTGAGATGATTTACTAAAAAAATCATATTATAACGTTGCAATAATATTGATGTTACAGCTCTTAATGTGCATATGACAGGGTAGAGAACTCATTTAATAAAAAAATATATGTGTATAATTTTACTTTCTATAGCACAGCAATATGTGATATACCTAGAGGTAATTCTACAACTGTTAACAACCATACGGATCAAACTGTGTCTAATTTGCACTGCACTAGCACAAATAAATGACAACACCACCTTTTGTTGCATTTTCAGTATTAATGGCTTTCCTATGTTTTTGTACTTTTTTCCCTAATTTCTTTCCATACAAACTACCACTTTACCAATGTAAAACTATGATAAATACCTTCTACAGGACAGCCTTATCACAAAATGTTTCAATATTATGCAGTTTTAGAATGATAAAACTTGATAAAAATATATCTGAATTTCTGTTGGTTTAAGATGACATATTATGTAAAATCAACTATTATGATATTTTAACCATGTTATATTGGTTTCAGAATTACTTAAAGAAGGGGAAAATAATTTTCATTACAGACATTACAGCCGACCAGCTTATCAAAAATAAAGTTAAGAAAGTTTAAATAAAAGATCAGTAGCTTAAAGAAAATAAGTACATTAAGTAGAGCACGTCGTTATTAACTAAATCCCCAGTGAAAATAAAATAAACATGTTCCTCTTCAATAACTTACTCAGAGTTTCATTTTGATTTGATTCATTCACGTTTGAATATTCCTCTGTTGAAATTCAGTTTTCTCCTACCCCCTTTCTCCACCCACAGCTCTGTATTTACTTGTCATTATTCAAACAAATACTTCAGATTCCAGGTCTTATATATAGGTTTAAAAATGTGTCACAGTTCTTTTTTGAGCAATAAAAACAGGTCTATCAGCTCTGCGATTTTGAACATGAAGTCAATGGACCGATTTCTATTATTCAATCTGTTTTAGATCAATAATTTAGTTTAAAATGAGCGAAATGTGAAATAATAATCCACGTATGTTATAGTTTAATACTAAATACTCAAAAATCATCTTTCTTTTTCCTCTGCATCTGTAGGTGAAGACGTTAACAGAGGAGGCCACCAATCGAAAGGCTTTTATCGAGTCCCTGAAGAGACGACTGAACGTGGCCACGACGGAGAAGAGCCAGTACGAGGCCTCCTGCGCGAAACTCAAGGAAGAGTTGGAGAAAAAGGTTGGATCCTTCTACAGAAAACTAACGCTATTTTATTCTTTTACGGTGCTAGTGCTGTGAAATTGACAAATCTGTACTTTTGGGGGCAATCATGATAACAATAAACAGAGGAAAATGTTGTTATCAATCAGGAAAGTTCTAATATTTGGCTGTAAATGTTTGTTTGAGTAAATTATCTGTAAAATGAATGACAAAAATGTAGCAAAATTACACTCCAATTTTCAATTTTTATGAACTTTTAATTGCATCAAGGCACTGTGTAACTTTTCTGGTAAGACTTCAGCTCCTGGTTGCGGAGGTGGGATCAAGTCGGTGTTTTGCGAGACTCAAGTAAGTCTCAAGTCTTTGACCTCAAGTCCGAGTCAAGTCCCGAGTCAAATACAGGCAAGTCCAAGTTGAGTCTCGAGTCACTGGCCCATAAGTCCAAGTCAAGTCGAAGTCGTCTGCTTTGAGCTTCAAGTCATTTCAAGTCTTTAAAGCAAAGCACCAAGAATAGCTTAGAGTTTTGCAATTCATATGATTTTTAAGCTCATTTGTACTTAAAAAGTCCCAGTATATTTATATATGGGTATTCATATAAGAGTTGTAGAAATGCAAATTTTTCCTTTTTAAATGTCTTGACAAGATCTTAGTGTGAATCATTACAGTCAGAATAGAAAGAATTCAGATTTAAAAGTGCTAAATAACAGTTATTTTGTCATGACGGATAATGTTCTGTGTAGTTCCCTCTGTTTTACTGTATTGTACTGTATATTACTGTAGTACATTTAAGGATACCACATCACAGTACTTCAGTTACCTCCACAGTAACAAACAGAGAAGTGGGAAGGACATGGTCCAGTTTGTTCTTGTAAAATTAAACACCACGTATATCAACTGAAAAGACAAAAGTGTTTCCAAAGACGTCTATTTTTTAGGAAAAGCATCAAGTCTTCTCAAGTCACAGGCCTCAAGTCCAAGTCGAGTCCCAAGTCTTAGTCCATTTTATCAAGTCAAGTCTCAAGTCCTAAAAATAGTGACTCAAGTCAGACTCGAGTCCAAGTCACGACTCGCAAGTCCCCACCTCTGCTTGGTTGTATCCATGGCGATATACTGGGGAGATCACTTTCGCTCTAATGCCCCATAGTATGACTTTAAACTTGCTGCTCCACAGATCAGATGTGTAAATTGACTTGGTGCTTGTCTCTGTGGAAATAGATACGCTTAATATCATACTGTGAAAAATTCCAGAAAAAGCAACATATCCCCATGGTGACAGACCCTCCACCTGGAAAGTTACACAGTGCAACTTTAAGGCAGATTTCTTAATTTAGATGATACGCTCAATATAAAAAAAAATGTCTACGTTTTAAACCACAATCTTGATCATATTGTCTTGTTCACAATATATTCCCAACCAAACGAAACTATAAAAATCACAGAATATAACTTTCTTCAAAACAAACTTTCTTTTGCAACACTTCACTCTTAAGTTTTCAGAAATAGTTTTGTAATGCATTATTGAATTTACCACCATTACTCAGTATTACACAAAAAACATGAGATTAACTTGCGGCGCATGCTTCAGAAATCAATAATAATCTATCACATGCCTAAAAGCTCGATGAAGAATTAAAGCTTTTCTACCTCTTTCCATGATTTCTTTTTTTTCTACAGGAGCAGCGCGTCTGTGCCCTCCAGGCCAGAGTGGGAGCTGGCGAGCAGGCTCTGTCCGCCCTGCAGAAGACCGCCACAGAGCAAATGGAGGGGTTGACCCAGCAGAGCTCCCAGGCCCTCGACCGGCTCCAGAGACAGTTAGCCCAGGCCCTCGCCCAGCTCGAGCAGCTCCACGCCTTCATCAAGGTACATTTTAGAAAGGGGTGAACCACAGTGCCAAAAGTTCAGTCTCTCTTTTTTTTATATTTACACACAGAACTGTAGAGATCGTACTCTGATTCTCATTTTACATGTACAGGAAAGATTCAGAAAGTTTTCCTAGTGTCAGTTTAACAGCATTTAATCTCGGTTAAAGGTCTATATAATAATTATTTTCTGGTCTATGTCATAATGTTGTTTCGTTATCAAAACCATAGCCAGAGTTGTGTTTTGTTTCATTCACACATGTTCAACACACAAATCCTGCTTATTTAGGCATCAGGTTCTTCTCTCAAACAGAAAACACTCTGTTCCACCTTGTGATGTCATGCGTTAGTTAGTGTTGTAGTCAAGACCGCACTAATCGAGGACAAGACCGAGACCACAGGGTCCAGAGACCAGGACAAGACCTCTGAGGGTCGAGACCGAGACAAGACCAAGACTTTTAAAGGTCGAGACCGAGATAAGGCCGAGACCACAAACCATCGAGACTAGCTTTGTCATTTTCTACATTTATTTGTATTTTACAGTCATTTTGGGACATGTATATCAATGTTTTTATAAATCTATCTTCTTTTGAGATGATTAATGTTCATTTAGGCTTAAATAAGACAATCTACACTTTTTGTACTCCTTTTTGGACCCTCACCCACAGTTTGAGAACCTCGTCTTTCATCCAACTTCCACTGGCACTTTACAGAAAACTGAAGAAAGTGGGTAGGATTTTAAACCTGTATTTTCAAGTTCTTAACTGGAGTTACATCAGTGTCAGACCTCGAGTCTGAGACAAGACTGAGTCCAAGCATCTTCAAGACCGAGACAAGACCGAGTCCAAGACGAGACCAAGACCATAAAAAAACAGTCTCAAGACCGGTCTCGAGTACTACGACACTAGCATTAATACAGGGAGTGCTCTACTGTGTTTTTAAAATTCATACACCTTTATTAGAATCATTTGGAATTACAAATCTCTGCTTAACTCAGAGTAAAAGGTACCAGCAGCTGTTAACATGAAAACTACCGCTTCATGACATCACAAGTTGGAATCAGGATTATTTTATTATTAGACCAAACAAAAGACGACTTGCGACACCTTTAAAGAGTCAGCATAAGTCCTTTCATTTCAATCTAGTGAAGTACTGTTTTATAAGACTGTTTATGTTAACTTCATTCGGAAAGTTTGATTCTACATTACTGGTTAAACAGGGATCAGGATTGAAGATTTTATGGACCATGTGAATGAAAGAAAAAGTATACTGTTGATGTCATTTGGTTATGTTGTCAACCATCTAATATTATATCGTATAACTTAAAAATTATGATGTTTTGTTTTTTTTTCACAATAAGCAAAACACTAAAATTTGACTTTGCGATATCCTTACATGTAGCGCAATAATTTTTCTAAGCCTGGATTTCAGCTCCACACACGAAACACCTGTCAGTGACACGAACAGCACAGTGAAAGCTCAGGCCCGGTCAGAGCTCCAGCCCTATTCGCATGTTGAGCTGGGATTTATATTTCATGGCTGCCCTGGAGGCGCACCGAGAGGTATTCTGCTACTGCATCTGTGGATTCAACACGTCCTGTTTCTTTTTGGCGAAGGCTGTAAACATGGCAACGTGTCACGGCCAAAACCACAAAGCTCTCTTATAGTCTTAGTACGCACATCTGTTTAATGTTTCAAGGGGGTCAGAGCTGTGAGAATCTGGTGTCACATTCAGGAAACAGCCATAAAAGCGCAGTTAGGCTCGAGATACAGGGAGAGGAGGGTGTCCGGGGTGCTTGCTGTCCACTGACCCCAGGGTTGCATCACTGGATTGCTGATGATGTAATTCTATTATCTTTGAACAGCAGACAGAATACAGGAGTTTGTGTTCCAGTTTTATACAGTCAGGGCCAGTCAGCATCCCTGTCCGAGGCCGTGGTTTAGGACCGGTGTAGTTTCAGGATGGATATGGGCACTGGTGCAAAAAATGGGTCTCATTTGTTAAAAAAATATATAAATAAATACGGAAATTGTTTTATTACTTCTGCCATAAAAGTTTTAAAGCAGACCTGCTATGCAGAATTGACTTTTCAGAGCTTTTAACCATGTTTATTCCCCTCACCATGTACTCACTCGAAGTTGTGTTTGGAGTAATTGCTTATTTTCAAGAAGGCACATTGCCGATCAACTCCTGTGACTATCTGTGTTCAACAGCCAATTCCAAGTAATACCAACTGTGTTATACAACAGATACTCATCCTTACAGTCTCTTCACCACTAGGGATGCAACGATAACCGAAATATCGTGAGATCGTATCGTCAAAGTTCTCACAATAATATCGTGGACCATCACAATATATCGAATTACAAGACTTTGCTTAAATTAAGAGTTATGGTGCAGCAATAGCTAAAAAAAAGACAGAGAGAACTACATAGACCATGATCCTTTGCTCAATTTCAGTGTAAACTAAGAAGAAATAACAGTTCTAAGCACTTTTAAGTCTTAGTTCTTTGGATTAAGTCTTGTCAAATTATTTCAAAAGGAAAAAGTAGGAAAATATCATACCGTGAAATGTATATCGTGAAAATATCGTACAGAGAGATTTGGATATTGTTACATCCCTAATCGTGACCTTCCCCACAATATTGTAATAAATATCATACTGTGAGGTTCATACACACCCTGGATTCCACCTGTTCAACCTGTTGCCTTCTCACAGACGCTTCAGGACCAATAGACTCGGGGACAGCTTCTAACCCCAACGCTGTCACCATGCTGAATGAGAACTGTTAATTTGTTTCATTTATTTTGTTTAATTCTTGCACTTTGACGGAGCAGCTTTGAATTTGATTATACTGTGTAATGACAGTAAACACTTTCTATTCTATTCTATTCTATTCTTTACCATGATGACATCGTATCATGAGACTTGGATATCGTTACAACCCCTATTCACCACCCCACATTTCATAATTATTGTCTTGATTATTGTTGCATCATTTATAAAAGCTAAGCTAAAGGCCTGTCACAATGATATATTTTGAAGCACATTATATTGCTACAGATAAATATTGCCACAGACAGTAAGGCAAAGCAAGTTTATTTGTATAGCACAATTTGTACAAAAAGTAATTCAAAGTGCTTTACAGGATAAGAAATACAATTAAAATCACAATAAAAACAAATCAAAACATAAATACGTTAAGTTAATTTATGAAATAGTCTTGACAAAGATATAAAAGAATCAAGTACAATGATGGCATTTGAAAAAGAAATCTAAGTTATTGTGAATACTAGTGAAGATTTCTATTTGCAATTGATTAATAATTGCGCCTGAACCGAAATGTACTGATTTGAAATGTTTTGAAGTAACTATCGATGTTGATGTTTTGTCTTGAAAAGGGAAAAGGGGCAGATAACATAAGATTCCCTTCTTTCTGCTCCTTTTCATTCATTTCTTGTATGTTTGATGTGTCTTTTTTACTTTATGAATGAAATAAATAAACAAAAAATAATAATCATCATAAAATTAAAAAGAGAGAGACATAAATTAGAAGAATAATATTGAAAAAATAATATTGAAACTACTTTATGTCACTGATGCAAAGCAGGATAATTCCAGTAAAGTGATTTTTAAATATACAGCATCATAAAAAGGCCTGAGCTGCCACAAATAAATAGCAGAAGGAACCATGATATTTAGCTATAGAAATTAATCTGAAGCTCAAATCTTGCATAATCTTACATAAGAATCCCCCCACTATTAAAAAGAAATTATACAGAGTCCTAAAATGACTTGTTTTAGTTTTCATACAGTATATTGAACTATACTGTATTAATTATCATGGCAAGCCTATAACCTAATGCCCTGCAGACTAAGAAACTTACTCCATATACCACACATCCACCCATGTTAACTCAACTATGAGCGTAAGGAACATTACACATTAGTACCCACTGCCACCTCGACCTGGCTCAAAACAAGAGCCACGCGGAGGAAAGATAGAACGGACTGAATACGAATAACATCATCATTACTATACACATGCATTTTGATTATGTATAAGGTGAGGCAGGCCACCAGTGCTCAGAATACTGTGTACCCAGAGGAGACTGCAGTATTGTCTTAGTGCACAGCTAATCCATCACCAGGAGGAGGGCTGGTGCAGAGCTACGGGAGGCTGGCAGAGGGAGATAAAGACTGCCCATCATCTGCTCATCTGACACATGTCCATCACGGAGGGAATAGTTGGCAGAGGCGGGTACGCTTCGGCCAGCACATAAATCACAAGGAAATATGTAAGGCGGCGTGAGGAAATGCTATATAATACAAAATATCTTCATGTTCCTCATAATTAGCAAATGCTGATGAAATCCCAGACTGAAATCTTCTGTAGGATTTACGGTCACAGCTTTCTTCAAACTCAAACAGAGGCATGCAATCAGGTTTTTAAGTGACCTATGGGAAAGCCAAAGATGTTCATTTTGTCTTCTTCTGTACTTTAACTTCTTGGGTTCTTTTCAAAGACACTACAGTAAAGTGTATTTTACCTTGTTGACATGTTTCGGCTGCTGCTGCTGCAAGCCATCTTCAAAAGGACAAAAAAGACAAAGCAGAACAGGAAAACCTAAAATCCACCATATCAGACACTGTAAAAGGAATAATCACATTCTGGATTGGGATGTGGCTCGGGTCATTGGATCGGAAAACGACAAGTTCAAACACTGGACCAGGGAGGACACTGAAATCAGGAAACAAGGCACGGACAGCGTTGGCCGTGATGACGGAGCGTTCCTCCTTTCACACCCTTCTCCAGAGAACACCGGGCAACGGGAGGCGTGGTCAGTCTGAGCGACCTGCAGGTCCATCAGGCTGATCACGCCTGGGAATTAATAACAGGTGATATACGACACGTCACCACCAACATCGGGGACAGTTCTGAAGATGGCTTGCAGCTGAAACATGTCCAAACGTGGCCATACTGACTTGTCAAAGCCTG